ATCTGAAGATATAATTTTGTTGAAGTGCCAGACGAGGGGGAAGCTATAGCTTGTGAAGAAGTGGAGCCACAAAAAGAAGGAACAAGTGATAAAGGAGCAGTAGTTTTGGTAGTTATATAAGGGGAGATGAGTAGTTAAGAGATGGATTGAAATGGGAAGACATTTTCTTGAAAAAGGACATGACATGCAATGATAACTTTCCCAGTTATGGAATTAAAGAGATGATAACCTTTGTAGTTGGTGGGGTAGCCAATGAATATGCATGGAATAACTATAGGTGAAAGTTTGTGTGATTGTTCGTGGGGCTAGAGGATAACACTGATAGCCAAAAACATAAAGATGAGTATAAGATGGAGGCTGACAAAAGAGTATCTTAAATGGGGAAAATGAATGTGCATTAGGAGAAGGTAGGAGATTAATTAGATAGTTTGCTTTAAAGTATCATATACCTAAAAGTGATAGGGAAGAATGGCATCCAACAATAATGTTCACATTATTTCAATGATATAATGATGTTTGCATTCGACAATTCATTTTATTGAGGAGTATAGGGACAACTATGTATATGAGTAATGCCATGATGAGGTAGAAAGGAAGTAAAATTTTTGCTAGTGAATTCACCTCTGATGTCCGTATGAAAAGTCATAATGTGGCGACCGAGAAGTTTTTCAATTTTTGTCTTAAATTGAACAAATTTATGAAATATTTCAAACTTATGTAACATGGAAAATAACCAGGAATAATGAGTAAAGTCATCCACAAATATAATATAATAATGATACATGTATTGGAAGGAAATGCGTAGAGCCCCCACCTCCGCCAAATCATTAGAGTGTATTAATTGTAAAGGTTTACATGTAATTGAACTAGACATGTGAAAAGGTTACTTATGACTTTTAGCTTGATTACATATATGAAACAATAAAGAGGAAGATGAAATAGACAAATTAGGTTGTTGTTGATGAAAATGAGAAACAGTAGCATGGTGAGGATGATCCAAGCACTCAACGATCATGCAATGAGCTGGATGAGACAAACACAGAGACACTAGGAGCTGTGGAGGTCAATCGAACTGGATATAGGCCATTATGACTGCGACCATGAAGGAGGGGTTGATTGGTCGTCCAAAGCTTAAGTTGAAAATCATTAGCATCAATATAGAGATAACAAGAGTTAGTGGAGAGCAGCTTTGGACATAAATAAGAGTATAATTAAGAGAGGGAACATGATATACATGTTTTAGATGAAGCTTTCAAGTGGGTTTTGGTAATAATCCTTGACCAATGGCAGCAATGAAAAGTTGCTGGTCATTTCCATCAGAGATATGCTGATTCCCATGACATAGTTGTGGTTGTTGCAAGTTGGTAACATCTAGATTTAAGTGAGAGGATGCACCAGCATCCAAAAACATGTCTTGAGTTGGGTTGGTGTTAGTGGTGATAAATGCAGTAGATCCTGAATTTATTGGCTGATAGTTGAATTTTGCTCAAAACCAACAATACACTGCAATATATCTTCTCTTATACAAAATATGACATTTAGTAGCTGAGTAATTTGATTGAGCACCATGATTGGAGCTCGACTTGCCACCACATTATGTAGAACGACCATGAAGAACAATATCTTTACAAGCATAACCATGAAGAAGACCTCTGATTCTATTAAGAGTAGTATGTGCAAGAAGAGTATTAAATAATTTTACATCACAAAGTGCTTTACCAATTTGATTTGTCTCCTCACTATACAAAAGAGAATATAGTACATTGAGGCTTAATAGTTGCATATTTGTGCAAATTTTAAGGTATGATAAGATGGGGGTAATCCGTTTAAGGTGTATAAGATTATATCTTCTAGATCTATTTAAATGCTAGCAGTAGAGATTGTATCAAAATTCTCTTTAATAGTAAATAAATAGTTTGTCATGGATTGATCTTTCATAGAGATATAATGCAATTCATTTTTAAGTTACAAGATGCATGACCTGTTGGATACTTGTAACCTTTAATCGAAAGTCAGTCAAACTTCACTACACGTGCTCAAGTTAAGAATATACTACAATAGGGAGAGGGAAATTACAAAATATAAGATTGTTGTAAGGTTTTGATTAATCTAAATCCACTGATTGTAATTTGTATTGGGAAATGGTAGACCTTCCATGAAATATATATTTAGATGGTGGAGGGATATTTCCAGCGAGGAATTTTTCAAAGACATTGGTAGTAAAAACCTTAAGGATTTGTGATTGCCAAACTAAATAGTTATTAGAGGTGATAGGTGATTTTATCATGTCATTCATATTATTGATGAGAAACTTTAACTGAGCAGATTATGAAGTTATGACAGTAGCAAACTTTGGCTGCTCTTTTCTTAGACTTTCTAAGAGTGTTCAAGTCTATATGTTTTATTCATGGTCAAGAAAATAGAAGGGAATACAAAGGAAAAAAAAGAAAGCTGTAAAGCTTAGGTGCTTTGATACCATGAAAACATAAATCAACTTTAGAAAAGCAAAACAAAGTAAAGAAAGCACTCTATGAAGCACAAGTATATGCAGCTTTTCTTATTATCTTTTCTTTATAGTGAACCAAAACTTTATAATATAACAATTGTAACATATGGTGAGGATTCACATAATTTATTATCCATGGATGGTTGAGATGAAATAGACAAACACAGTAACGTTAAGACTATGGTGGACATAGTGGAGCAAAGCAGAAAATAATTGACACCATTCCATATAATCATATCATTCTAATGGTAATTTGCTTTAATACTTTCCACATTGGATAAGTGGCTTGATTGCCACCTTTTGCAAGGACCAATAGTGAAATCCTATGTAGAATACGAGGTTGAGTTAGCATCGCCACTAAAAATTTATTTAAATAGTTTAAAATGAAGCACAAGTTGCGGCTAAACACTTTTTATTACTATTTTGACTAAGAATACCAAATGAGTGGAGAATACATGTGTTGATTTTTATTTTTAAGAATAAATGTGATGGACAAGATTGTGCAAATTATAGAGGAATTAAGTTAATGTGTCATACTTTAGAACTATGGGAGAGATTTATGGAGCATAGGTTGTAGTATGATACTAATGTTTCTCAAAATCAATTTGGATTCATGCTAGGTAGGTCTATTATGGAAGCTATGCATTTATTGAGATGTTTGATGGAGAATTATAGTGAGAATAAGGAGGATCTACATATGAAATTTATTGATTTAGAGAAAACATATGATAAAGTTCCTAGAGATGTACTATGGCGAGTTCTAGAAAAGAAATGGTTTAATAATGCTAATATTCAAGTCATTAAGGATAAGTATGAAGGAGCTATTACTTGTGTTCAAACACAAGGTAGTTTGGCTAAGTATTTCCCTATTTCAATTGAATTACATCAAGGATAAGCCTTAAGCCCATATATTTTTGCTTTAGTCATGGATGTTCTCACTAGGCATTTATATGAGTTTGTACCCTAGTGTATGCTTTTTGTTGAAGATATTCTTCTTGTTGATAAGACTAGAGAGGGAGTTGAAGGTAAACTTGAATTATGGAGGTCAACCATAGAGTCAAAAGGTTTTTGTTTAAGTTTCAAACTTAATATATGGAGTATAGTTTTAGTTGTAATAGATCTAGTGGGGGAATTGTGACTTTGGCGATCAAGTCATTAATAAGAGTACACATATTACATATCTTGGGTCTATTATTCAGAGTGATGGTGAAATAGATGGGGATATTATTAGTACAATTCAATTTGGATCGTTGAATTAGAGGAATGTATCGGGCGTGTTGTGTGATAGAAAAGTGACCCTCAAACTTTAGGGAAAACTCTATAATATGGTGGTGTGACCTGCAATGATTTATGGCATATATTTTTCGGCATTAAAATAGAAGCATATTATTAAGTTAAGTGTTGTATGACGATGCTCAGGTGGATGAATTGCTTTACTCTTAGAGACAGGACACGAAGCACACATATATGTGAAAAGGTTGAAGTAGCTCTAGTGGCAAATAAGATTAGAGAGAGTCACCTTAGATGGTTTGGTCACACAAAATGGTGGCCTTTCGATGACCTAGTTAGGATAGTAGATTTATTATATTTGGCTTATGTTAAGAAAGGTAGAGGTTGACCTAAAAAGACTTTTGTTAGAAAATATTATAAATGATCTTTCTTTATTAATTTTAAATGAGAATTTGACTCTTAATAGGTCACAATGGAGAAAAGGATTCCTGTAGCGAACCCCATACAATGGGATAAGGGCTTCTTGTTATTATTGTTATTGTTGTTGTTGTTGTTGTTGTTGTTGTTGTTGTTATTGTAGTTTAAAATGGTCTGAAACTTTGAGAAATCACCTAGATTTCATCTTTGAGCCAAAGCTCATGATCTTGGACTCTATGGAATTACGGTGAACCCCTCTACATTTTAAAATTAATTTTAGATCATGAAAAACAATGTATATAAAGTGTTTTGTCATTAACTGCCCATTATATTTTAATTATTATTCACAAACCATTAGTCATCTAGCGCTCATCTTCGGATAAGGTAATATCACATAATTTTCCTTAGGCTTGGTGATAGGGCTAAGCTTAATAATTGAATTTTTAAAGTTATAGGTCATTATTAACCTAAAACTTTTGGAATTAATTTCATCCAATGCATATAGAATTAGGCCACTAATTTCTTGTGGAATGTTTGCATTATTGCAAGGGTTAGACACAATTAATTATAGACCCATTTGAATACTAGAAACACATAGGAAAATAAATAAGAGTTGTGTCTAGTAAACTTAGATAAATTATAGAAAATTTACTTAACATCAAATAGGGATAAAACTCAAACCTGACATATTTAGGGACATGATGAACCCTTGAAATTAATTTCACCTTAATTGAAGTTTATTAGGTTAATTAATTAATAAATCCTAAATTCAGCCCTATTTTGAGGCTAAAATATCTCAAATTCATGAGGGCATTTTATTTCCCGCCTCGCAGCACGACACCAGTGACTTCCCACTCGATTTACAATCTCTATACCCGCCCTAGCTTTATGACACGATGATGGACGCCATCATCGATTCCGATACCGACTCTGATGGCTCCCACGTCTCCGCCACCCCACCCAGGTCCTACCCTGCCTCTCTTCCTCCGAAGTCTAGGGCTAGGGGTTCTCCGATCGCCGACCCTAAGCGCAGAATGCCCCAATCCATACCACTAATGCTGTCTGAACCTGATCTCCCGCATTTCCCCGGCGTCGATCTGTCCAATCTCAACGGCATCTCTGTAAAGAAGATCCAGCGACCTCTGGATTCTCGGCACTCGACTTCCTTCTCCTCCCTTGTCCGATCTCGTCGCTCTTCTTTCGATCCATTATCTGATCCATCGAAAGAAGACGCCACTGTTACCCAGCATGCTACCTCCTCCGATCGCCCTCGCCCTGGGAATGGGATCAATATGGCGAAGCTTCACCCGAATTGGCTAGGTCCGGAGGCTCGATCGGTAACGACAGCTGCTGTGATGCCGAAACGGTGCAAGAGCGGTAGCGAGGGAAACTTTGTTCGGCTTAACATCAATGGTTATGGTAGAAATAAAAAGTTTTCGTACAGGTCCGGAAAGAAGAAGGCATTCCCGACTTCAAAATCTTGGAGATTTTCTCGGGGTCCTTCCAAAGCAGAGAGTTTGGCTTTTGACGCGTCAACGAAACAATGTACAATCTCAAAGGTTGACTTGGAAATTGCGAAGGCGGCTGTGGAGGTTGCTCGAGTTGAGCCTTCTGATGAGAATCTGAGGAAACTTCTGAAGCTTACGCATGGATATGATTGCTTCCGTGAAGGGCAACTGGAGGCTATCCGGCATGTGATTTCGGGGGACTCTACAATGCTAGTGCTCCCAACTGGTGCAGGTAAGTCCCTTTGCTACCAGTTACCTGCACTGGTTTTACCTGGGGTAGCATTAGTCGTGAGCCCTCTGGTAGCTTTGATGGTTGATCAGCTGAGGCAACTGCCTTATTTAATACCCGGTGGACTTCTAAGCAGCAACCAGACCAGCGATGAGGCTCTAGAGACATTGCAGAGGCTGCATGAAGGGCTAATAAAGGTGCTTTTTATCTCACCTGAGAGATTGTTGAATTCAGAATTTCTGTCAACATTCAGGGATGGTCTGTTTATATCTTTTTTGGCAATTGATGAAGCGCACTGCATTTCTGAATGGTCTCACAATTTTCGGCCTTCGTATTTGAGGTTGAGGGCATCACTGTTACGAACAGTGCTTAATGTTAAGTGCTTCCTTGCAATCACTGCAACTGCAACAACTCAGACTTTAGATGACATCATGGGTGCTCTAGAAATTCCTTCTACAAGTTTAATAAATACACGTCAAATTAGGGAAAATCTACAGCTCTTTATAACCTCAAGTGACAATAGGCTGAAGGATTTGTTAATTCTTATGAAGTCAACTCCTATGGTGGACACGAGAAGTGTCATCATCTACTGCAAGTTTCAGAAAGAAGCTGAATTGGTGAGCAAATATCTTTGTGATAACAATATCTCTTCTAAGGTATATCACGGCAGTCTTGCATCAAAGGACAGAATCCGTACTCAGGAACTCTTCTGTTCGAACAAAATTAGAGTGGTAGTAGCAACTGTGGCATTTGGCATGGGCCTTAACAAGAGCGATGTTGAAGCTGTTATCCATTACAGCTTGCCAGAAAGCATAGAAGAGTATATCCAGGAAACTGGACGGGCTGGGAGGGATGGGAGGCTTTCCAATTGCCATCTTCTTCTTGATGACACTACTTATCATAAGCTCCGTAGCCTTTTATACAGTGATGGTGTTGATGAATATGTAATTAACAAGCTTCTATCCCAAATTTTCGTGAAGGAAACTAATTTAGAAGAGAGTATTTGCTCCTTGATTAAAGAATCCACATCATGTAAATTTGATATTAAAGAAGAAGTTTTATTGACGATCCTGACAGAACTGGAGATAGGTGATGTGCAATATTTACAGTTGCATCCTCAGCTCAATGTTACATGCACACTGTGCTTTCACAAGACATCACCTGAAGTGCTTTCTGGAAAGGATGCCCTAGTTTCTGCTATTATTAGTAAGTCAGAGAAGAAGCATGGGAAATTTGTTTTTGACATCCCCACCGTAGTGAATTATGCGGGTACCACAGTCAAAGAGCTGTTAGATCATATCCGAAACCTTAAGTACTTAGGAGAAATCACATATGATCTGAAGGATCCTGCGTTCTGCTTCACAATTGTTAAGAAACCAGACGACTTCTGCTCTCTTACAGCCCATCTGGCAAAACTTTTATCAGAAATTGAGAAATGCAAGTTGCACAAGTTAGATGAAATGTTCAATTTGGCATATTTTGCCTTAAAAGAATGCCGTGGAGTCTATGGATGTGCTAGTCCCATGCATACCCAATGCATTCAAAAAAGGATTTCAGAATACTTTAGCAGGGTTAATAACGTTCATCAAGAGTTCAGCTTCAAGAGTCCACAAAGCAGCCCATTTTTACATGCAGATATTAAGGTGTTTTTACAAGCTAACTCAGAAAAGAAATTTACACCAAGAGCAGTTACTAGGATTATGCATGGCATCCCGAGTCCCGCTTTTCCATCTGCAACTTGGTCTACCTGTCATTTTTGGGGACGTTACACACACATAGATTTTCCAGTAGTCATGAAGGCTGCGACCTTGGAGCTAATGGATTTCTGTAAAAGGGGTAACACCTAAAGTTTTTTGTTGCTTGGAAACAAGTGTTCCATAGACAATCTGATCGTAGGGATCTTCAAGGTGAAAGTATGATCTTTGTGTTATCCAAAGAAAACGCTAATTTTATATTTTATAAGCTTTGTGACCACAATTGTTTGGCTCGTTTGTCTTTAATATCGTTCTAACTCTGCTGCCATCTTACTGGGTTTTCTACATAGTTTTTAGTCTTTCGGGAGTGTAGTTGAACGTGAGCCATATTTGTTATTATGAAACTATTGAATTGAAATATATTGTTTAACCACCAAAACTTAAAGAAAAAAAAACTCTAAAATTCATAATTAATTAAAGAAAATTCATAAAAGTAAAATATAACTTTAAATTATCTTAAAATTAAACCTTAGTTAATAATTAATTGAATAAATAAATATAAAATTAAATATTAATCTAATTAATCTCAAATTTTTAGGAATTGATCTATGAGTTATTCCTAACCAATGGTATCAATCATCTGAACATTTGTAATTGATTGATTAAGCAAAATCCATCCCTATTTCCTTCTATAAGGAGGGAGTTAAATACATAATTAAATCCTTTTCCCGTCGAGCTCTGGTGATTTGGTGGGGATTTAGGGAAACTTCACGGTTTTTTGGCTTTGGGAGTCGTCATCCATCCCCTTGACTTCCTCTCTTCCCAAGGGTAAATCTCGATCTTTTAAGGATGTTTTGGTTGATTTCTCTTCCTCTACATCTAGGCTTCACATTGTTCAAACTTTGTTTAAGGGATGTTCGGCTTTGATATTTGATGACTCAGTGGTTTCTCAGTTGGCTGCTTCGTTTGCGTTAACGCTAGTTGGCAAGTTCCTCCTTAGGCGGCCTAACCTTGATGTTATTCGAAAGTTTTTTTGTTAACCTAAAGCTGTCAGGTTCCTTCTATATCGTCTTACTTGATCAAAGGCACATTGCAATCCAACTGTCTAATGATCTTGATTATAGCTGAATTTTTTCTAGGAGATCCTACTATATTCAAGCTTATTAAATGCGTTTACTTAGATGGACACTAGATTTTGATGTTCGGGAGGAATTCCCAATTGCTCTTGTGTGGATTTCATTTCCGAATTTGAGACTTCTCTTCCTTAATTCTCAAATTTTATTTGGTTGGCGTCGATTTTTGGAAGGCCTTTACAAATGGACCAAGCTACTGTTTCTATTTCTTGGCCATATGTGGCTCGTGTTTTGATTGAGTTGGATATCTCTAAGAAACATCCGAATGATATATGGATTGGGTCGGAGTTGAATGATTATTTCCAAAAAGTGGAATTTGAAAAGTTGCCCATTTTTTGTTTTCATTGCAAAATGCTTGGCCATGAATTTAATGAATGTTATAGGTTGCATCCTCACCTTCGTAAGGAGAAGGATTCTTCCAAACTATCACAAGGAAATGCTGTGAATTCTGATTCTCATGACAATGTTAATCCTAAGCTTGGAGAGCTTGAGGGCAATACTCCCAAACCGATTGAGAATATTGAGGACCCCTTACAATTAGCATGTGCTAATACTGAACCGATTGTTACTAATGTTGATTTTCCTAATCTTGTTTAGGGAAAAAATGTTAACTCTACCTTTATCTTACCTATTGGTTGTGAAAATATGGATGAGCAAATGTTGGCTATTACCACAAATCAAAATATTGCTATTTCTAATTTTATTAGTCTTTATATTATTAACAAAAACCTATATGACATGGATTTTATGTTACTTTCTACTAGTTGTACTTATACCTTGGCTTTGAATGATTAGGAAAAAGTGGTGGAAGTTAATGCAGGTTTTGACTTATGTAGTAAAGATATTGTTGGGAATGGCCACACCTTGGAGGAGGGTGAATTGGCTAGGGTTGAGGATAGCCTTTCCTTTGGGGAAGGCAATGTTGAGCTTGTCATGAGTAACAAAGAAAGTGTGGAGGATGATTGTATGTTTGAGGAGGGTGAATGTTCTCAACAGGTAAGGCAGGCGGGCCAACACAATGATAGTAAGCTTCCTTATAACTCTCATTATCATAGTGATGCTTTTACTGATACAGAGGATATGGATATTGTTGCTAAATATTTTGCCAAAGATGATAATGATACTAGCTTTACTAAGTTTCAAAATAGGAGCGGCAGAAAAAATAATAACATAATTTTACAATCTCGTAGGACCACCCGTCATTCACAAACTAGTCTTTAACATTTTTTCTTATGTTTAAAACTATTATTTGGAATGTTAGGGGTATTGGTTGCTTCTCTTCTAGGTTGAGAGTTAAGAACTTATGTCATATTTACAATGTCTTTATTCTTGTTATGCTTGAACCTCTTATTAATGTTTTTAAATTATTTAGTACTACAAGATTTTTTTGGATTTAAGCATTTTGTTTCGAATTCTGCCAACAAGATTTGGATTTTTTGGGAGGACCCTGTTCGGATTGATGTTATTAGAGACTTTACTCAAGTTCTACATTGTAATATTGAATTTTGAAATTTGAACTGTTATGTTTTTTTTTTTGCTTCTGCTCGTAATACTAGAAAAAATATTATATGCGCAACTCACTAATTTTTGTAGTATTTGCAACTTGTCCTGGCTTGTGGGTGATGATTTTAACACGATTTCTCATCCTTCTGAGCATATTGGGGGCTCTGCTCCTAACTATCACTCTATGAAAGATTTTAACAATATGATTATGGATTGTAATTTAATTTACACTGGCTTCTCTAGTAATAAATTCACTTGGAACCGTGATCATTTATGGCAACGTTTGGATCGAGTTTTGTTTAATGAAAATTGGCTCAACTCTTTTATTACTATTTCTATTGAGCATCTTTGTAGAACTCTTTCTGATCACTCTCATATGTTGATTACTCTTAAGTCTAGGTAGATGAATTCTTTGCCTCAATTTAGATTTCAAAATATGTGATTGCTTCATAAGTTTTTCTTGGATGTTCAGGAAAATTGGCATGCCCCCTTGCATCCTGATAATTCTGTTCTTGGCATGAAGAGATTTTGGTTCAAATTGAAAAGACTAAAGAAATCATTAATTGGTGGAATCACAATATTTTTAAAAATATTTTCACTAATACTTTGATTGTTGAAGACAAAGTGAACTCTATTGAGGTTAACTGTCAAGTGTTCCCTTATGATGATAATTTCATCTTACTCAGAGAGGTTAAAGATTCTCTGTTTAAATTACAAGCTCAGGAGGAAGACTTTTGGAAGAAAAAAGTGGCTGCGAAACACCTTGCTGAAGGTGATAATAATACCAAATATTTTCATGCTTTGGTTAAGAGGAAAAGAGCCAAAAAACTCCATTAATAAAATCAATCATGATGATGGTTATGTTAATGAGGATGGTGAGGAAATTGCTAATTTGATTGTTTAGCATTTTCAAAATCGCCTCAATAAGGATTTTACTCCTGCTCATATTGATAACCCTGCTATTATCCCTAATCTCATATCTCAAGAGGATAATGATTTGCTTTCTAAACCCCCCTCTTTAGAGGAATTAAAAGAAATAGTTTGTGGCATGAATGGTGATTCTATGGCTGGCCCAAATGATTTTACTACTAATTTTTTCCAGAAAGCTTGGAATATTATTAGTCCTTGCATTCTTTCTGCTATTTTGGATTTTTTTGCTAGGTACAATATCCCTAAATTTTTTACTTCTACTTTGATTGTGCTCATCCCCAAGGCCAACTCGGTTAGTAGTTTGAATGATTTTAGACCTACTAGTCTTTGTACCTTTTTTGATAAATTGATTTCTAAAATTTTTATGTGTCATTTAACTTCTATTCTTCCTAAAATTTATCTCCCTATCAAATGAGTTTTGTTAAGGGCTGGGCTATTGCTGATAATATTCTTTTGGCTCATGAATTTTTTCATGACCTAGATGTTAGGGTGAGAGGTAGCAACATTATCTTGAATCTTGATATTTCTAAGGCTTATGACAACATTGATTGGAATTTTCTTTACAAGATTTTACAATTATTTGGCTTTAATTCAATTTTTATCATTCTTATTAGAAATTGCATTGAATGATCCTATTTTTCCATTATTATCAATAGCAAAAGCAATGGTTTTTTTAAATCCTTTCATGGCCGAAGATAGGGGGATCTTATCTCTCCTGCCCTTTTCATTATTGCGACAGAGTACTTATCTAGAGGCCTTTCCAACCTCTCTGAGAATCACCCTAGCCTCTATTTTAGAACATTGGGTGGTTTTCCTATCTCTTATTTATGTTTCGCTGATGATTTTATTATTTTTACGAATGCTTCTTTAAATCAGATTAATAAACGGTTAAATTTTTTTCATAATTTTGAAATTGTTAGTAGGCTTTCTTTAAACAAAAATAAATGTTGTTTTATTTCCCCCAACAAAGTGCATAATGCTGTATTGAGGCTATTAAAGCCCTGACTAATTTTGTGCAAGCTCAAATGCCGATTAAGTATCTTGAGGTTCCTCTTTTAAATGTCGTAAGAAATCCTTTCTTTTTGATGATTTGATTACTTCGGTGCAGAACAAGCTTTTGCCTTGAGATTCTAATTTTTTGAGCATTGGTGAGAGGCTTATTATCATTAGAAGTGTTCTTTGCTCTCTTCCTATTTATACTTTTGAACTCTTCAACCCACTCAAACTGTTTGCAATAGGATTGATAAACTTATCAATAAAATTTTTTTGGAAAGGGGCTAACTTTAACTCTAAAATTATCTGGTCATTTTGGGACAAGTGTTGTGGTGTGTTAAATGAGGATGCCTTGGGTTATAAGAGCATGTTTTATTTGTCCTATGCTTTTTCTTTCAAGTTGTGGTATACTTTTCATGCTAAATGAGCCTTTGGGCTAAATTTATGTTTGCTAAATATTGTGTGGGTGAACATCCCACTATTTGCTCATTTAACCAAGGCGATTCTAAAGTGTAGAAGAGACTTTGCAAGGTTAAATAGATTGTTGAGCCGCATCTTTCCGAGGAGTTGGTGGTGGAAATATTTTCTTTTGGCAAGATCATTGATTAGGTCCTCACTCTATTGATTCTATTACTAATACTTCTTCCACTGCTACGGTTAAGGTGAACTTTTTCATTATGGATAACTATTGGGACTATGATAAATTTGTGAATGTGAT